TTTTTTTTTTTTTTTTTTTTTTGTAGAAAACATAGGCGAATATCTTTGTGATATGTGAGCAGCCAAAGGTTTCCTAGGTCACAGAAAGCAGTACCCCTTTAAAAGATCCGGTATTCAAGTCCATCAAAATTAAAAATTCATCATGGAAATATACTGTTAGTAACTAGTATCAGATGACATTTATGAAGTAGCTGTATAGAACTAGGTTAATATAAGAATTTTCTTGTCTAATTCTGATCAAGTTCCTTGATAAGAATTTCTATAATTTAAGAATGATTTATTTTGTCTGCTTCTTTAATCATTACAAATGCATTGTGACACTTCATGGTTATTTCTGCTTGTGAATAAAGAAGTATGACTTCTCCTTGTCTTGGTCCTGTGTATTGCTGGTATGAAACTGAATTATGAAGCTAATGAGTAGAGAAACTGGAGGAATAAGGAGCAATTCAGAAATAGAAAAACACTAGTTAAATTGATTTTTTATAAGCAGTATTTTTTAAAAAAGATTTGCTTCCTCCACTTTTGCCATTTATGAAAATATTTAATGGTTGGAGAGCTAAAATCACTTTTATGCTTTTTAAAGTCACGAGTTCTGAGGGATATACTTCTACTATTACAAGCAAGGCGACTTGCCAACACCACAGCACTGGGTAGTCTCAACTCATGTGTTTAGCTTCTGAGATAGCTGCCTCTTTTTTAGCAGAGAGCAGTCAGCTGGACTGTGCCATTAAAATAGGCAAATATTTGTTCTGGGATCATGACTATGGGGAATTGCTTCTCTATTTAGGACTGTGGTACATATTTCTGTGTGTACTTTGATGCTTCATGCATATTAGTACCTGTAATTCATCTAGTTGCCTGTAATATTTCAAGATATATTCAGAATTTTCCTTTTCCTGCAGAAAAAATTCTTTTGTTTGGGGGTCAAAGTGAATATTGATACACAAAGATAAAATTTACATTACTCATAGGTCTTAACAGGAATGTATTTTAGTGTATTTTTAATCCTTTTATTGTATTCTATAATCCTTTGTCCTTCTTTCTTTGTTTAGTCTTGCATGCCCTGCCTATACTTTGAATTAGATTTATGTAATATATTATTTAAAAACGATGACAGGCAAATTTTCATTTTTCTGTCAGTGGTGACTTAGAGGAAACAAACTGCTACTATTGGGAATTCTGAACCTTAGCTCCTTGTAAAATCGTTGGCATATTTGGAGGAGTGTGTTCAAGTGTGAGTCTCCAGAAGAGTCCCAGCAAAACAACAGTCGTATTGGCATCTGGGGAACTGCTGCAGTGAAGGTGTTCATTGAGAATATGTTATAGTAGTGTTCCAGGAATGCGGAACCTGCTGTAACTACCTGTTAACAACCTCTTCGTGGCTAAACTTCTTGACGATATCTGAAGCAGCAGTCACTTGGCCTGTCTTTTGCCTTTCATTTCTTACATGAGCTTTTCTGCAAGGGTTTTCTGGGAAATTACTTTTTAGCTTTCTCGTCTCTGTAGATAGGAATGGCTATACACTAATGAGGTTCGGATTAATGCCACATGCAAGTGCATTTACATATTATTACACTCTTACATTAAAACAGACATTTTCCTCCATATAAGTAGTACATGTTTATTTTAGAGAAGTAAGAAATACAGAGGGAAAAAAATCACTCCTAGTCTCTCTTCACAGGTAGTTCCTGTTAGTGTTCTCAGATATATGTACATTTACATTCATTTATGTTTATACTGCATATTTTCTTTTACAAATATGTTAAATGTGTTGCATACTTTTTTCTGTAAACTTTGTGTAATAAATACACTTGTGAAACATCCTTTTTAGTGGCCAGTTAGTAATTCATTATATAGATTTGCTTTAATGTGTTTAACAAAGCCTCATAAAGAATAAATTGTAGAAATACAATAGGTAAACTGCGTAGTTTGATTCTTTAGGGTAAGATTTTGTTTTTTAAAGTAATGTGAATTTCTAAATCAAACATGCATATTTGTTCTTTTCCTTAATACATCTTTAACTGGCCTAAATCTAGTGACTGATGCACTAACACTGCACCACTTCTTGCTTACGTGGTACTTTTTGACTTTGATTTGATAATATAACTTCTTAACCTATATCAGGAATGTTCTAGATGCTGAACATAAGTGGTGAACAAGATAAAGCCCCTTGCCCTCACACAAACTGTCTTCTAATTTTTACAAATAGTAGTATAAAATGCAAAAATAATAAGAAAAGTGGAGAAAGCTGAGATTTGACTAGGTGGTCAGGGCTTTAAAGTCCTTTTAAGGAGGTGATCTTTAAGCAGAGAACTAAACGAGAAGTACCGTCCCTTTTCATTTTTTTTTCAATTTTACACAATATATTTCTCCGACCTTTTCTTGTAGTAATGATAAAATATATTGACTAACCCGCAAAATGGAGAAAAATCTCTACAGGTGTGTTTTAAAAAATAGCTTTAAACCCTCACCACGATTAATGATGTAAACATAACTAGAACAATGAAATTGCTAATATGGCAGAATATTTTATTATGTGGAAATAGAGATAAGAGCTTTTTGAGCAAGAAATATAACTAAGCATTAAAAATGAGAGATACTTGACTATGTAAAAGTTAAACCTTTCTACATAGCAATAGATGCCATAAAAACCTTGAGATATAGCAACCAAGCATATATTTTGCTACACAAAATACATGTAATGTTGATATTAAAAATGTAGTTGATGGCCAGAGATTTAGCTCAGCAGTTCGGTGGCCTGCCTTGCAAGTGCAAGGACCCGAGTTCAATCCCTGGTACCAAAAAAAAAAAAAAAAAAAAAAAATGTAGTTGATGTCTAATGTAGAGAGAGCTACCACAGGAGGGAAAAGGGAGAAACAGAGATATGCAGCCCTCAGGAGGCTTATGCAGGAGGATCGCTGTGAGTTTGAGACCAGCCTAGGCTACATAATTCCAGGTCAGTCTCAACTGTACAGAGACCCTGTCTCAAAAAAAAAGTGATACGAGCAGGCAGTTCACAAAAAATTAAAAGGCAGTAACATCATAAAAGATGGTAAGTCCCACTAGTGTTCCAGAAAATGCAAATTAAAATGAGATGCCCTTCCTTTTTCCCTCTTTCCTTTCAATCCTTTTATTCTTTCCTTCTTTTCCCCTTTCTTCCTCTTCCTCCTTTGTTTTCTTTGCTAGTTTCTTCTTTTAAATAATATGGTGCTTAGGCTACTCCTTTGTGATCCTTCACACACTTCTCCTATTCTTCCTATTAGAATGAATTTTAGTGGTAAAAGTTACATTGTAGAATTGTACAGCAAAGGCCCTCGTGAAAGAAATACCTGAATTTATTAAGATTTGTAGGAGATACGGATGACCTTTGCTGAGTTATTAAGGAATGCATACAATAAATGGTAACCATGAGCTGTGGGATCCACCGGCTCCCTGAACGTTGGTAATTATGATTTTGATTAGAACCTGATAAACACTTCAGGCAGGGCCTCCTGAGCAGTGTCTCCTAGTGAGGTTACCATGGTCCTAGATTTGATCTTTTAGCTTATGATTTGAGTATACTTATTGAAAATAACAAGGACTTTGGATAGTTAAGCCAGCTTAATCAAACTTGCAGAAGACTAATATATGCCAGAAAATACAGTTTATTAATTTATGTGTACAATTATAAATGCCAGCTGACTGGACATTTTTATCAGCCTGTCAATACATTCTCTCCCTGGTAGGTAAACTTAGCCAAGTAAACCAAATTAAGACAAAGAGGAAATTGTTTCTTTAGTGATACTGTAATGGTCTGTGACACATTTTTTCCATGCAAGATGCCAATCAAATCTGTCTTCTGCATTTACATACCCTGTTTAAAACGTACTGCATCCTTCTGTATATTGCTAGAAACAAAAGACAAAAGTTTAAACTCCACGGTTAACATTTTTCTGTTTGAAATATTCCTGCTTCCTTTCCCACGTCAATGTTTTCAACAGTGTTATAATGTAAATTTGTGTTTGCTTTTAACTTGGAGCTAGCATTTTAGGGGTATTCTAGAGGCTCCTTGACCTAATTTTTTAAAATGTCTCCAGGTCGGAGTAGCATTTCTATAACCTACATGTATGAGGAATTGGTGTTTCTATTCAAATTATGCCAATATGACCTTTTTTAATGTCTTACATTGAGATTGTCTATGTAAGTTTAGAGCACTTGACCATTTTCAATGTTCATCAGGTTTGGCACTTGGGAAGACTGATTTTGGGCTTCATTGTGAAGAGGAGCCATTAAAGCGATAATACCAAAGTTCAGAAGAAAGGGACAGAGCTAAGTAATTGAGAAAATGCCTCCTCTTGAAGTAGATTTAGTCATCTCCCTAGAAGAACTAGAAAGTATTAAACATAAGGGAGTTCATGATGATTAATTACAGGTGATTAGTGATAAAGCAGATGGTGTTAGAGCAAACAGAAGATACCTTGGACTTTAGAGAGTTAAAGGAAATCTGTAAGTGGGGTGGATCACAAAATAATACTGCTGAAGTAAATGCAAAAGAAGCGATTCTCACAGGATACAGAGGAAAAGGCCAAAGAAATAAAAGAGAAAAAATATAGAGAGTTCATCAAGGAGATAAAATTTATGTGTAATAGGAATACCTGAAACAAGACAAAGCAAATGAAACTGAAACAATGAGCTAATTGATGAAGTCCACCTGTAAATGAAGAATGCTCACAGGGTACCTTTAAAATTTAATGAAAAGAAAGCAACACCTAGACATATCCTGGTGACTTTTGAATGACTCCTTGAATTTCAAGGATAAAGAAAAAGTTTTGCAAGTATCCAGACTGAGAAAGTGTTATCTGACACCCACAACTTAAAGGAGAGGTTTACTTTGGCTCATGGTTTCAGGGGCTTCAGTCTGTGGTTATCTTGCTCCAAGGCAGA